CAAATTTGGCAGCCAGCTGCTGCTTGACACTCCGCTACAAGCATTATTAGGTGATTATTTGGTACTTCGCTCTTTTGCTTGTGTTTAGCTGATAGATGTTTCAACTTGACTCCCCAGAGGAGGGATTAGGCCTCTGCCAGTTCACCTTTACTAACAAACTAACAACCACTGTTTCTCCAGCGATGCAATTTGGACAATCCGACATCAACCAGTGCGTTTTGCTGTAGGTGCAGCAGCAGGCTTGTGATGCTGTCCATCATATTGAATTCTAAAACACACAGGCTTTTTGTTTATGAGGGCGGTTTAGTTTGACTGTTCATTGTCACCTTTTTGCTGTATATTAAATAGTGTGCTGTACTGTGTGTGTTTTCATCTCTTGATTCACAAAATTTCAATTTCTTAGTTTGAAGGCGAGCTGTTTCTGTGTCCTGGGTTCCTGGCCCCACCATTCCTGGACTACAGTGGTTACCACAGTTATATCGACGAACATCTCCCATCCGAGAACCCCACTCTGTATGGTCTACATCCAAATGCTGAGCTCGAGTGTCTCACTGTTACCTCAGACAACCTCTTAAGGACTCTGCTGGAACTGCAGCCACAGGACTCCTCCAGAGGAGAGGGGGCAGCTCCGAGCATGGAGGAGAAGGTGTGAAGGCAGAAAGAACCATCTTTGGGGAATCGCAGCTGATAATACAATCATCTACCTACATGAATATCCTAACCACGTATATTCTATTTGTCAGGTCAAGTCTGTCATTGAAGATATCCTCGACAAGCTTCCCGAGGAGTATAACATGGCGGAGATAATGTCAAAGACAACAAAGAGAAGCCCCTACATTTTAGTCTGTTTCCAGGAGTGTGAGCGCATGAATCTTCTGCTAGCAGAAATAAGGAAGTCTCTTAATGAGCTGGATCTTGGCCTGAAGGTACAGTCTACTGTGACGTATACTGAATAAAAAACACAATCAACATCCTGTCGCATTAATGAGGATTTGTTTGTCCACAGGGAGAACTCACAATCTCCTCCAGAATGGAGACTCTGCAGTCAGCCCTGTTCACTGACTCTGTTCCAGATTCCTGGGCCAGACTGGCTTATCCCACCACTAATACACTGGCACAATGGTAACTGCTCCTTCCTAATAATACTGTATTTTCTTTATTCAACATGGCCCTTATTATCTTCTTTTTATACTGCCCTTTATTAGTTCCCCTGTGACACACTTAGTGTTTGACTGTAGTAGAACTTCTATAAATATATTTTGAAAAAATGTCTTCAAACATAAAGCCAATATATGGGCGACCGTTGCAGACACATTGTACAGGTTTCCAATCAATGATATACCATGTTTTTATTTATTTATTTTTTTGTTACAGGTTTAATGATCTAATGTGTAGCTGTCGAGAGCTGGACAGCTGGACTCAAGACTTGGTTCTTCCTGCCGTTGTTTGGCTCTCGGGGCTCTTCAACCCACAGTCTTTCCTCACTGGTGAGGTCACAAACTCAACAAGACAGATGATTTAGATGACGTGCACCTGAAGCACCAGAAATATTAACACACATGACTTTGTTTTTTCTCCAGCTGTGCTGCAGAGTATTGCTCGTAAGAATCAGTGGCCCCTGGACAAGATGACTCTGATTGTGGACGTAACAAAGAAGACAAAAGACGACTTCGGACACCCACCACGGGAGGGGGCCTATATTCACGGCCTCTTCGTGGAAGGTCAGAATAAACATAACATTCCTCCAGCACACCCTGCCGTACTTAAATTATGTCTTTGTAAATATCTCTTTAAGTCTCCCTAGGCAAACCCACAGTACACCATGTCATGTGTCCTCTTAGGAGCACGCTGGGACACTCAAACTGGAGTCCTCTCCGAGGCGGTTTTGAGGGATCTGACTCCAGCGATGCCGGTGTTGTACGTTAGAGCTGTGCCTGCAGAGGAGCAGGAGCTCAAGAGTACTTACGAGTGTCCAGTGTACCGCACCAAGCAGCGTGGGCCCACATATGTGTGGACCCTCCACCTCCGAACAAAACAGCCTCCTGCCAAGTGGATTGTAGCTGGAGTGGCACTGCTGCTGTCTGTGTGAGACACATTTTATAGTATCTACTGACAGTATTCTACAAAGAGTGTTAAAAAACGATATTTTTTTAGTATTCTTCCCCTATTGAGACAGTATTTAATCATTTATTGCCATAATTTAGCTTTTTATCATGTTTTTTTTATAATTACTAACACAACATACACAATTATAACACAATTATATCTTTTAATCTTGCATATTATTATTGTATCCAGTTCAGTTCATATGTGACAATACTGACATTGTAGTGTATGAATGTGTGTTAGATTTAAAGATAATGGGAATAAAGAAGTGGCGATACATGGTTAGCCAGTGCTGAACCTGTTGTGTCTGTGTCCGACACAGTTGAACATCTCCCTTGAGATGGTTCAGTCTGGGCATGATTTGTTGGGAGCTTATGTCTCCATTTTAGACCATGTAATTCTGGATAGGGAGCATATTTTATTGGAAGGTCAAGATTAAAAAAGCTCTCCGGCTGCCCTCTACTAACTGAATGATACACAATGCCGTCTGGAGGGTTCCCGGACAGAATTCCCAGGAGATGATGTGCATGGTTGCTATTGACTTTTAAATGAGGTGCATTTGACATTGACCTTTTGTACGGCAGAGGCAGAATACTAACAGACTAGTGTAATTCATTCAGCCAGGGCCTGTTGGAGAAACCTATTCAAAGACACTGATAGGTTTCTATGAGAAAGCAACACATTAGATTACCCATCCTTTATCTGTCTGCACTCTCTGTTAGCATCTGATTAACTTAATACGAACCAAATAAAAACCTTTAACTTTGAATGAGTCTAAAGAAACGCAGTCATCTTATCTTAAATGTTATCTTTTTTAAAATATTTAATTGAGGTTAATTGAAAACAGAGAAGATTTTCAGATTAAAGTGTGATTATTTAAATATACTGAAAGAGTAGTGCTATACAGATACATTCAAATATTGCAGGAGGTCCAGGGTCAAGGTTGAGATCATACAGCGCTGTAATACTATTTTATTAATCAACACACAGAAAAAAGGTGCTCAGAGGGAATTTTGTACATCCACAAAAAGGTGATATAAGTCCTGAACAAATAATCAGCTGCATTTATTATTCAAAACAAGCTGATTTGACTGTCAGCTGGAGCTATATGATATGAACCAGCTCATGATGAAACAGGACAGGTGCAATATTATCTGCTAAGATTAACATAGATAAACATTATGATGTACAAATTACAGCCACTGAATCACTGAATTTTTTTTTTTTTTTGGGGGGGGATAGAAATCCACACTCTTATCTTCTCAAATGAGATTTTCTCCAACGCTAATAACCTCTGTGCTGCTCTTAATTTCTCCCTGCAGCCAAAGTGGCTGCAGACAGACAAGTGGAGGATGGAGGATTGATTCTATGCATTGTATTGCACGGGGGAAATGAAGAACCAGTCTTCCTGTAGTTTCTCTTCATCTGCCCTCTCTTCCTCTCATTAGCACGCCACAGCAGCTAGCCAGTCATTTGGTGACAGGGAAATGATACAGTGCTGCTGGCAGTGTTTGGGAGGAAATGGCAGGGTACGGGGCCCGGCGCAGCAGGGGTCGTGCCACAGATAGTCATGTTAAAAGGCCAAGCAGGACACCTGGTTAAAGTCAGCAAGGGCATCTGGGTCACACCTCCGCCTTGCAGTACCCGAGAAAGACATTGTGTACTGATGGTTTTGTTATCCAAAAGAAATCCGACATTTTGAGCATTTAAGACCTAGACTAGTTGCCTGCAATGCTATAAATGAATGAATTATATTACCAAAATCAGTGTAAAATGTTATTACAATGTGTTCCTACATAAAACAGTTTTAGATTATAAGGGCCTGATTAACCCGCTAGTGGACCCCTCTGGGCAAACATGAGCTGTGGCTGTCTCCATTGATCAGCCATGCCATTTTTCCCACTCTCCATGCATTGTACTGTAATGTATGAGTACTTTGTGTGTGGTAACTTGATTAACTGCAGAATAATTTACTAAAATGTAAGCACATTAACACTCCAGCTGTGTATATAATATTAGGAAAATATTTATAATTAACTAAATAACTGCAAACTAATTACTATACATTGACCCGGAGCCTTGAGAGTCTGGGGGCCCAGTGCATTTGCCTACTTTGTCCAATTGGTAAGCCTTGTAGGTTATTCTGGTCATTTATGAAATGAAATACTGTATTTTTACATTTCTGCTAACATCTTTTTTAGGGACTAAACTGCAGTACCCTTTTGTAGCCACAGAGAGGCAGTGAAGCTTCACTGGAGGCCGATGTTGGGGAGCAGATGAACCCATTTACTGCTGATAGGTGATTTTAAATGTACTTTTTCACAAAGAGGATTGGAGTCAGTAAATTGAATATGCTTGGTGCCAATTTGAAACGCATCGCAGTGCAGACTACCCACCAGTCCGTGCCTTTATGCACATTTTGAACAAATTATTACGAAATTGCCTCACATTTCTGCATTCAACAGCTCCTCCTTTTTTGTATTATTGAATCACTGATGCTTGTTTTCCTAAAACATGTTTTATTATGACCTCACTGTTAAAACAACAACACGAGAAGCTAGTGACAATTCAGTACACTAACTCAAGTTCATGTGAAATTACAAAGTATAAAGTATGTGTGCTATAACCTAAATAATCTGAGATACTGACACATAGTACAATGGAACACTTTAGGTGTTTTTCATTGTACCACTTGACACTATTCTAAATGCATTAGTAACAGACAGGAGTCAGTAGTATCAGTCTCCTTTAGTCTGTACTGCTGTAACTTTTATCTTTGCTATAACCTGGATTACCCATCAGCATCGTTGCTGTAAGAGATAGAAAGTACCATTTGCCTGTTTGAATGTCGCCACCTTATACATGAGCATATCCTTCACAATAACCAGTCACGATGATGAAAAATATTTTATTTCATGCACAGTTGACACTGGTGGTCAGTCCATGGCTTGCCATATCATGCAGACCAGCCAAATCAGTGTGTACAAAAACAAACATGAAATCGAACTGAAGATCTATAGAACAAATAAATAATTCTGAAATAAATAAATATCTTATCCAGAATTTTAACATATATATATATATATATATACACACAGTATAAACAAAATCCACTATACATCGTTGATACAAATGAAATTTAAAATAAGATAAAGCATGTAATCTCCATGTTCTCTGTGGCCTTTAAAATCCAAAATATATAAATAAAATTTCAAGAATATAATGCAAAATTGTATCTACAACACTTCACAATGTCTACTTAAAATGACCTAACCTCCGGGTAAAGGTGAGAATTTTCAGTAGACCAATTTAGAGAATAAATATTCTATCTTCTATGACTTACACACTAAACAGTTGTATACAGTAGTGTTACTACACACTGTACATAAGCAAATGGCTTCTATTTTTCTTCCTCTTTGTCCAGAAGGTGCTGTAGTACTTGATTTTGCTATTGCTCTTTTCTTACAGGGACAGTTCAAAAACACGATATCTATCCATATGTTTACTAAGGATAAAGGAGATCAGTTGAAGTTCACTGTTGTGTTGTTGTGAGTCACCATGTAATTGTTTTTGAAATGCTCATTTTCTGGTACTCTGAGTACCATAAAGCTGAAGCCAATATGTCCAACCTTCATTAAATCAAAGCTAAACTATCTGGATGGCTGATCCTCCAGCACAAGGAATAACGCACTGTGTTGTGTTTCAACCTGAACTTTAAAGACCAATACAGAGATGTATCGGTATGAGTCTGATGCTTAATTTAACTGATTGTCCGCAGCTCATCTAGATAGAGATCTTTAGTCCAGTACTTTTAAAAAGAGATGAGCAATTAGCATTAGTTTCAGTGGGCAATGGTATTTGGCACTAACATACGTCATTATAACTCGCACACACCAAAGAAATACAGTATACTGTGAATCATTTTCTATTGCTCTGCTCTAATACCATCTGAAGTCTCATCTAATACACTGCACTTTATGGTGAAACAATAAAACGTTATGGTAGAGGAATCAGCAATGTTATATATTTAACAATCATTTTCACTATTTCTGTCATCTTGATTCAGTTTAGCAAGACATCAGCTTGTTGTGCATACACTGTACTGATTTATGAGTGACTGTATGTACTACATCTGGCAAAGAGAACATCTGGATCGTGGCGGACTCTGAGGAAACGGTTGTGTGCGCAGTATTGGACTGAAATACTCTTTGGTTAAATCTGATGGAAAAACCCCTCTGCTGCCAGAGCTATAAACACAGTGAAAATACAAAAAGATTACCATGAGTTAATCTGCGTTTCATGATCTCAATCACTTTATGTGACATGATTTATGTGGTTAAAAGCTCTGGAGAAGGCTAGTGGACCCTTTTATTGTCAAACACACTGTTCTCAAGGTTGAGAGTGAACTTCCATGTTAAACACTGCACACTTGTGTTCTGTAGTTTCTTCGATGGAAGGCGCTTCACCTGCAAACAAACTCATTCTGCTGATTCTCCACAGGGGGGAGCTGTTGGGCCACTATCAGAACAGCTCTACACCTGCCAAACTCTGCCATCTGTAGGGAAGTGAAGCAAGAGCAGCAGCAGCAGGTTTGGGCTCGCAGATCGAGTCATGCTGATCATCATCTTCAGCTCTAATCTGCTGCTAGTGTTTGTTTCTCTTGCCAACAGGCAGCACAAGTTGACTGCTGGCACTAGCTGTTGGAATATGTCGGCTGGCCCCGCTTTCAGGTGTTCTGCATCAGCGACGGTTGCGAATCTATGCAAATATTTATGCATTTAACCTAAGATGTGTCCTCTGCTGCTTATTCCTGTGTCTCGTGAGAGTTTTCCTGATTGAGTGGCTCCCTCCTGTGGTCGGCCAGGGTCATGCAGTGTTCCCCTGATTGCCAACTGAGTCCTGAGAGATAGATGAGTTCGGATATAGATTGTTCCTTGGCAATCCGACGGCCTGGCTGACACAGTGGGAAGTGCAGTAAGAGCCGTTCTCTAAGCACGGGGCTCCAGTCTGTGCGACAGATCAAACAGAGTCTGCTGATTGTCGATGATATGAAGGTAATCGATGTAGGCTCGCACATCCGAGCTGCTCTTCTGAGTGATGCCATTTCCTGGAGGGAAAGAAAATGTTTTACTTCCAAGCTGAGACAGCAGCATCCAGGACAACTCTTCTATCTATATTCATGCACAAAGGTACACACCAACATGTTAAAGGATATTTAACAGAAATATCCTTTAACATGGTGGAGTTATTTGTTGAAGAAAGCAGCCTTCTGAGTACCTTTCACATAGACATATTGCAAAAAAGTATACATTTGTGTACTACAATGAGGCATTTTTTTAGTAGTAGTATTAACCTGATTTACACTGATTCCACAGATTGGGATTATGTACCTTGCAATTACTCTAACTTTTGAAATGCTGTGACATCACTGTTTATAAGTAGGTCATAGAAATCCCAAATGTTGTTGATCTCGCATCCTTAAAATGAGCAGTGAGTGATCTGAATACTGACCCATGTGATCTTTCTGACACTGCCGGATGAGCCGCACTGTGTCTGCTATCATGTGCTGGAAATATAAAATGGACTTCATTAAACATGACATTTCATATTCAGCACCACTGTACGTTATCTGGAAAGGGTTCATGAACTCACCAGCTTTTCAAAATTGACCAGGTTGTCATGAAACGTCTTGTTGCCCTCATGAATGAACGTAATATCTAAAACAGATAAACATTTGAATAGTGTTCACCAACAACAGGTATTTGGTGTCTGTTTGTTTCTGCATAGGAAATCTGCTTGGAATATTTCACAGTGCTCTCCTCCCGGAGTTGGACTAGTTGTGTGGTACTGAAGTGACAGAATAATGAGAGCACCTTTCAGTAGCAGAGGAAGAAAGGGGATCTTTGGCGCCTTCATCTTCTTGAAGGAGTCCCTGTAGGCCTTGTGGTTCAGCGACGGATCCTGTGAAGACATTTTCAAAACGAATGAGTGTAATCCTCTGGGGAAGACTGTGTGTGCCTGTGCATGCATGCTTTGTTAGAGCTGAATTATGGCAGCATTAGAGACTAATGATCTAAAACACCTTATTTTTGTCGCCTGATGTTTGGAAATTAAAAACATCTGTTTGTTTCACCTCATTCACACACAGGGCTTTTTTTCCCTGTTAAAGTGAATTAATGTTGTTTCCATTTCAAAACAGATATACATATTCTATTACATACACTGAGGGACATGAATTATACTTACTGTAACTGTCTCCAGCTCTGAAAACAGCTTTTTGAATTTCCCAGGAATTTTCTGCAGAGATAATAAAAGGATTTATTTTATTCAGACACCATGTACTTCAGCTATAAAGGTAGCAAAGATGTCTGTAAGACAAAAAAAAGACATATTACCTCCCATGTTTGACTGAGGCGGCCAACGGCAGCAGTGTTCAGTCCCATTATAATTGCAAAGAAACAGTTGAGGTTCCTCTGAGCTTTACAGCTATAAAAGATCAATGCAGCACACAATTCAGTAACTTGCAGGGGCACAGCTCAACAGCACAAAAGTAGATGCAGTTTATTGATTTGCCACTGGAGGGGGCAGCATCCCCATGCAAATCTAAACACCTCACCCTAAAGAATTGGGGCTGAGATGCCGTAGCGTTGGCCAACAGTGTGTTTATGATCACAATCAATAAACTATGAGTGAGTGAAACTACTAACTGGGCAGCAATCTTGATGAACTTCTTGATGAGTTGGACCCTTTTGCAGAGCGTTGGGCACAGTAGGACTTCAGTCATCACCCACAGCTGGACTTCATTGCAGCGCTGCAGCAGCAGCTCTAACGCCACAGTGTGGCCACTGCTACTGTGGCGGCTGAAGGTGAAATAGACGAGCTCTTGCTGTAAAAAACAACAACATATACTCATAAGTTGAGCATCACCGGGCACATGATGTCAGATATCTTTTAAAACTGTTTAGACCCTTTTAGCCCCACACTGTAGAGACAACAAATGATGCGTAAGTATTCAAATTGTGGGACAAACCTCATGTATTGAGTCAAAGATGGTCCAGTCAAAGTTGGTGAGAGCAACAGCCACGTCCCATGTGTTCAAACTGAGCATGCGAGCCGTCCTCTGTTGCAGCTCAGAGTTGTCCGTGAATGGGTTCTGAAAAGGGAAAACAAACTTATTTCACAAAAACTACATGGTCCTGTGACCTGCCAGCATGTGACTGCTGTTGGCAGTGAGAGTTTTGCTTAAAAGTTGTCGTCATGTTAGCCGATTTTGATAAATTGTCAAAGCTTCCAACATGACCTCAGCTATGTTGATGTATAGATTGTCCTCTGCATTGCTTCTGGGCTGATAAGTGAATGTATATGTATGAACTACACTACTTGACACTACAGAATATGTGCAGTATGTTTATGCTCAAGTGACACATTGCAGTGCTATTCTTACCAGGACTCCACCCAGGTCCTTTCTGCAGACATGCAGCCTCCCCACTGGCCGTAAAGAATCGGAGAAGACTCTGTCCTGAGGCTGCAGGAGGTGCCTACCTGCAGGGTGAGAAAACATATCAGAAACAGCAGAATGCCATTAAAAATCTGTCAGGCAGCGTGTAAAGCAGCTATCAGCAGCAAGAGATAAGACTTGCTGTGCCAGGCTCCACTCTGAGGTAGCCAGTCACTTCAGTCACTGATAACATATACAGACTTAATATTACTGGACTATAAATGCTTCTCCCTTTTAACTGTTGTCACTGGGGAGATTTTTAGGTCACTTCTGTTGATCACAATCTCACACAGTCATATCTGAGCTTAATATACAACTCAATATAGGAAAGCAATAACTGAAGTAGTGGTTGATATGTACTGCGGATGGTTAGTTAGAACGGTATTTACCTCCAGGGTAAGTGACAGCCACTAGGACCAGTTCCCCCTGTGGGACGTCCATCCTTTCTGCTGCTGCCTGCAGCAGCTCCTGGGCCACTACCCCGGCATGGGCCCTCATACTTAGGTACGAGTCCATGGTAATATACACATGACACAGCACTGTGACAGAGAGAACATTTTGTTTCAGTAAGGTACAATATAGAATGCACATCGCTTATAGAGAGCTGGAGTAATATGGCATCAGGTTTTCTAAATAATAAAGCTCTTGAAACTAGATTACAACACAGGGCCACAAGACAAATTAATAATGTTGGGAACCACCATAGCTCCATCTTATTGGTGCAAATTTCAAATAATCAAATTGATAAAACTCCTTTGGGGATTTTGGGGCCCCTGGGAGTCTTTGTTACATGCTTGGCTGTGAGAGCTGGTATAACATGTTTTAGGCCGGTTATATTCTAGAGGAGGGTTAATCAGCCACTGTGTGCAATGGAGGGCAGAGTCGAAACAGGTTTTCTTTCCAGATAGACTACAGCAGGTTTTCAGACTATTTAGCACACGTTCAACCAGAAAGAAACCAGTTAATTGAGTCACCTGCTTCCGTCTCTTAAACAGCGGAAGGGAAAGAATACACGGCTGTCCCGCATTGATAAGGTGACCTTGAGCCAAGCAACTGACCCTCACCTGCTCCAGTGTAACAACTCAGTGATAAACTGTAGAGGACTGTGTAGTGTGGTATTACCGGGATAGACCAAGTATAATCAATAGATTTCTCCTGATGAAGGTATAGTGTCAGTGGGGACAATGTCGTTGATTGAAAGTAGTTCAAAAGAAAACTACTGTGGATTATCCAGAAGCAGAAACCTCTCAATAGAGATGTCATATGGCTAGACAGCATGAGGGGTAACCATGACCCTGACCTTTAAAAGAAGCCTAAACTGATCCCAATAAGACAAAAGAAAAAAGTCACAACTCAGGAATGTGCATTTCCAAACCTTCTCATTCAGTCCCTGGAAAGATTCCCATTGTTCCACTGTTCAGACTACATGTCTCCTTTCAACGAATGTGTGAAAATTGCCACGTTTTATGACTTACCTTCTTTGGTTTCCCTCTGTGTTCCTCTGGACTGGAGCCCGTTCTCTTTCAGGCTCAATTGGTGGAAAAGTGCTTTACTCTAGAAGGAGGGAAATGCGTGGATTTTGACACACATTCATATTGCCTGAGAACACTGGGCATATTGGTAGAACTACAGAACAATGTCTTTAGCAGGAAATGTGAGGACAATAGCTCCGACACCAAAACTAGTATGTTGACGTGAGCAGCTGGCACCGTTTAATAAAATTATTTCTGTCGTCATTTCAAAGTGCCGTAAAGAGAGCAAATACAAGATTATTTCACTAACCTTTCTTTGAGGGGAATAGTCGTCCACCGTACTGGAAAAGGAAGAAGAAATAAATAAGTAAAGTGTACCACCATGTGCCTACACATGCACAAAACCTGATCTAGTGATTTTCCTTAGGCTGCAACTATGTCAAGTACAAAAACGTCACCATCAGTCTATAATCAAGGTAGAGTGAATGTACATATATACTCCTCTGCTGCGTTTAGTCCATTCTTTAAGATCAGTGTCAAGGCAAGATTGGAGTGCTTTGTAGATTTTTTAGATCTTCCAATGTGATCCCTACGTTTAATCACCCTATTCTCATCAGTTAGGCCCACCTAACATGATGGATAGCCCCATGTCCATTATTATCCCTCAGCTTTTACTGGGCTCTGCATCACAATAGGCATGTTGGCACAAAGCCTGCCCTGAGGGATCTCCTCTCGCTGGCCAGCAGCAGGCCAGCACTAATGAAAAACCTGATTCCCACTGTCATGTCAAAACAGAGTTTGTGGTCTAATTCATTCTGTTACTCCTCAAAAAAACAGAGTTGCTGTGGATGTCAATGAGCTCAGTGAATTATAACGCCACACAATGAGAGAGTGCAAGAGAAGAAGTGGTGTTTGATTCCTAAGCTTTCAGAAACATATGGCTTGAGCTTTCTTTTGCACAAAGGCCAGATGGAAGTTGATGGGAGCAAAGGACTAAATGAGGCTTCTCTCTACAAAAAAATGACACCTTTTAGCTTTTCACTCTGTAGCAGATTGCCACAAAGCAGTCAACCTTGTCCTCCCCCGCTGGGGTGAGCCTGATTGTGAAAACCTCATAAATAGTAGAGTATGTTAGTTAGTAACACCCACACAAAGTCCACTGCTTTAAAGGAGTGGGTATTGTGGATCTCCCTCCCAGGATATAAACATGAATAAAGCAGGACCAGATAATAGCAGCAGAGTCAGGTTGAATTATCTGCACTGGTTTTCTAATGGGCGGCAGGTTGGAGCATCCCCAGGGAGAGTTTCTGATTGGAGGCTGTGGTTGAGGGAGGGGAAGGGGGACATGGGTGTGGCAATGTGTCTGGTGAGTCGGGGGTTGTTTACTCTGTAATGTCAAAGAGCAATGTGATGCTTATTCTTATTTAACCAATAAATTGTAGCTAAGCAACAGTTCCACTTCAACAACAACAACAACAACAACAACAAAACAAACCCAATATTCAAGATTCTGAATGTCAAATATTATTGATATGTTGAATGCAAATTAAGTCCATTGTGTGACATTTAGGAAGATCTACATAGGGAGCGTGTCCTCTTTATGGAGTCTGCCATGTTGAACTGCCATGTTCTTACAGTAGCCCAAAAAAGACAAACCAAACACTGGTTTAATTGGCAGCCATCGTAGTTTCTACATGTTTGGAAGGTGAGGGGTGTTCAGTTGACTGCAATCTTCAACTTAACGTTAAATGCCACTTACTTCTACACACTAGTCCTTTAATGTAAATAATATATATCTATATATATGTGAGTTGGCAGCTCATCATGACTGAATAAATGTAACTGTGGATGTTAACATTAATGTGGATTTCTTTTGTTATGACTGATCCACTTAAAAATGCATCCAGTGCTTTGGATCAGTGCATACTGTATATATTTTCTATTTCTATATGGACTAAATTCCATAAATATTTTATTACTCAAGTCAGAAGACCTAATAATTTGTATCACAGCATTTATATATGGATGTGTGATAATACTGTATCCAGTAAACGAGTGGTGGAGCATTCTTTCAAATAAAAGATTTCTGACAGCTTTTCATTAATTCTGAAAATTCCTGTATTTCCTCAATTTTGGAGATTCCAGATAAAGAGCTCCATGACCTTTATATTTCCGTGCATAACACCCCAGAACACTGCAATTACTCTTCAATATCTGAATGGATTCATTGACGAGAAGCAAGCAGAGAAGGGGCTCTTTCTTTGTACTCAGAGACCAGCTAGTGTGTCTGCTTCTTTTCAGATCTCCAACAGTTGTAGCCATAGTTGCTGTTGTAAACACCCAGACTTGAAATCAATAAATACACCAGTTTTTCCATTTAATCCATAATTTATGTATGTATCGAATGACCCTGTGTCTGAAAACATAAAATAGCAAAGTAAGTCATCATATGGTCACTCACTGTCTGCGATGCAGCTGGTACAGTTTCTGCAGTTCCCTCACATCCTTCTCCAGGGCTGGGTGCTCATAAAGATCATCCAACACGTAATGGTACAAAGTCTGAAAGGAAATGTCCATTTTCATTTCTCCTATATTAAGTTCAGCTCACGCCCCAGTTTCCACCCTTTTCACAGAACATTATATTTCCTACCTTCATGAACAGTTTGACATGCTCGTCTTCCCTCAGGAAATCTTTGCAGAGAGCCATCCACTGTGAGACCAGGTGCAGGACTTTTCGTTTCCTCTCCAGAGTCTCCTTCCTGTCCTCTTTCCCTTTGTATCTCTTGGTGCAATAGGTGGGATTTGGTTAAGGCTTCAGCACAGATGGAGAGCGAGCTCTATTTGCTGACATCAAATGCAGAGTAACATGAATCAAGCGAGTGTGTGTGTGATGTTGATTTAGGGATAGGCTGTGAGAGAGACGGATGTGGAGTAGCTTAGAGTCAATAAACCAGTAGTGTTTTTGTATGAGACAACTATGTCTGTCTGTAGCATTCATAAAGGAGGGTTATTATGTGTGAATCTTTGTAATAATATCCCAGTGAAAACCCTTGTGTTCAAGGATATTGTCCCAGCAGAGCTTGACATAAATCACTGGTGGACATAAACACTGGGTATGTCAGCAGAAAGTCATCCAGAAGTGTATCTGCAAAGAGAAAGAAATTATTGACATTTTCTAATAGTATAACTTTAAAACTAGTTTAACTGCTACTAGTTGCATGGATTTATAAATTATTCAAGATATATCACCGAAGACAGAAACGTAAAACAAGTTTAAATTCTGTGCAGACTATCATAAAAATCCTCATTAGGTTTATACTGTTACAGGATCCTGGATGGCAGGACTGTACCAACTGTATGATTAATGTTTGCTGAGCTGCACCTACTGTACAGCAGGCCTGTACTTTTATTTGAGATGGCAGCTCAGAGACTTGGCTTACCTATTCCATCTTAATAATACCAGATGGAGAGCTCATTGTCTTCTGTCAAACATCAATTAACAAGCACTAAGCAGAGACACTTCAGAAGCAGACCTAATGTGAGAGACATTTTAGTGGCACATTATTCTTCATGGTCACAGATAATCATTTGTGCTGAACCCACTGAGGATTCTCCAGCTGCATTTCGCTCCAACATGTTCAAACAAGCCTTTACTGGCTTTATCTTCAATCTCACACACTCACCACTGCAGGCTGTATCAGTAATGTTTAAAGTGTCAGTTGATTCTCTCTGACCTCTGATGAAGTCTGTGTTTTCATTGCGATTATCGTGCACGCAGAAAAGCAATCTGATACTGCTTAGCCATCATCCTAATGTGTTTACAGGCAGCATTTTCTGCCACCGTATCCATGTATGATTTCTTCCCAAGGTTACACATGGGTAAGTGTTTCTGTAAATGGATTAAATCAAAACCAATCAAATAGTAACATGAAATGCACCTACAGTCTACATCATCACAATTTTTTTACCACGATAAACAAAGACTAAGTGTGACTCCCTTTATTTTAAAAACCAAAATCTACATTCCTTTCCCTTCAGAATCTCTTTTTAAAATATGTCATAATTCGTAAGACATTGTAACAAGCTGTAAAAGTGCATTTTGTACAAATTGTCATTCTACAAATACCATTCTGAGGCATAAAAAGAAAGGGAAGGACAGTAACTCCCAGACATGATGCCCAGCCACAAGCGAAAACCTTTACAAATCCTATTAGGGCAAACCTCAACTCAACCCCTCTGTAAGTGTGCCTCACACCCAGAATTGTAAATTCTCCCCTTTAATTTTACACTGGCTTCCCAGGGTCTTTGTGTGCGTTCTGGTCCACAGGACTCCCTGACATCATTATGTTAATCCGTGCAGAGCAGCTGTGGATGCATCACTCACTGCTTATGAGAGGTTAAACACTCATACACATGTATTCGCCATAAAGGACACAGTAATGCACCTTAACACAAAGCCAGAAAACAACTAAAGATCACCTACCCACCCACATACTGTATTGTACCTCCTCTCCTCCCCACACACACACACACACACACACACACACACACACACACACACACATTGATCATGCACTGCTCGCTCACACTGCTGTGCATTTGTGTATTTTCTCCAAGCTATCTTAACTGAAAACACTTTCTCATGAAAAACAGCATACATACTACTCCCCAGGCTGTACACTCTGCAAGTTTTTGGAAGTTGGAAAACAGAATAAATATTTAATCTTACGACCTAAAGTCTTATTTTCTGGGTAACACAGCAAAAAAAAGAAGTAGAGAATGTCCTGCAGAGTAGATTTAATCCAAACAGTTTAGCTAGTTTTATTTCACTGACCCAGACATTTATGCATGAATTGTGCTGATAAAGTTTAACAGTCGACTGGGCTGATTTGTGACTCCTACACATCACATCATTTTAATTTAAGATTCTCAGTTATCATCATTAGTTGGCCTTGATCAGAGAAATGGATGTAGGATATAGAAACATTTATTCAACACTGCAGCTTAGTACACTATCAGGTACTCAAACCAAACCAAATTTAGGTTCCTTTCCAGAGGAAATGCAGAATGCAAATTAATTGATCTAGGTTGTCAATCTACTGTGAAATCAATCAACCTGTCAATCAACCTGCCAATAGCTTTTGCATTCCAATAAGTACTCGTAAAATTGATCAATTCAGCCTTTGAAATAAGGATGTTAATGTGTCACTTACTGGCTCAGTTACCACCAGAAGCCATCATATTGGTGTAAAAGCCCTAAATCATCCTAACAGGTTGTATTGACACATTTTTAATTTCTTATCCGCTCACTTAATGTGGTGTTTTTTTCATTACAAATAACCATCAACATCTCCCCACAACATAGTGCGTCAGTTAAAGAGCTGGAACATCCTCTCATTAAGAACGCAAATGTTCCATTACATGTTTTTCAGAGCTGGCAGTGTAAAGTGTGAATCTGTGTAGAGCTGGAATCAATAGCTCCACTCAGAGATTGGGCACAGGAAAGAAGGAAACATTGAACTATCGTGAATGCTACCCGCAATGCTAGCCCACAGACAGAAACGCTAGCATATCAGAGATCTACTGAGTACTACCGTGGTTCACATTTGCTTTTCCTCAAGCATGCCTGTGGTGCTTTCGGAAAAAGGGCCACCTCTTGCAGAAATCTGCTCTGCATTTTTACTTGTTGTGTACTTAGTATGTATAAAATCAAATGCTGCCACGGTGAGGTAAAATTGTCTTTCTAATGTACCGGACTGAATGTAAGTCATAAACCCAACATCAATAATCTGCAGCAATCATCAGTCATGTTGCTGCACAAGCTCTCTGAGCCATCCTTGAGAGAAAGACCAAACACGGCTCTCTGGTGGATGTTCAAATAAATCTCTTTTTGATGAAATCAAGGATCTCATGGTATCATGCTTCTGGTGAGCTGATCCTCGAAGGGCACATTTAGCAGTAGCACTAGAGCATAAAGAGCTTCAGTACTGACACAGAGAGAACCAAGGCCAGCAGGAGTCACACTATTATACATTGCTGAGTGCAGATCAATTGCTGTTCAGGACTCGGTTCATTCCTTCTCCTCCTCAGGTCTCCTCCTATGACCCTGGGATATCACTCAGCATCATGCTCTGGTCCACAGATCCCTAAGGAGGCTTAACTTCAATACAGCCATTGCAAGGTGAGCTAATGGTAGTGAATCATCAACAACACACTACTGAGCCCATAGGATATTACCTAAAAGGTTACTGAAGGAACAGAGGGATGTCTGCCACTTGCCTGCCTTCTTTACATTGTTACATTTCATTAATATTAAACCCTTAATTATAGCAATAAAATATGCAATTCAACATAAAACATCTCATGTACATGTAAAATGCACCATATTTCCAATGCAGGGACATCTCCTGAGGGGGCATTTAGATCAATTTCATTTACTTCCTCATCTGAATGAATAATGATCTCTGGTATGGGGTTATCCTGCCTCTATCCCAATGAGAGATCAGAAAAAAATCAGCATCTCCTTTTCATCCCCCTTTCTTTCCCCTTTTCTCCCCATGTACAGTGTCTCTCCTTTCTCTCTAGTATTCCTCCTCTGCTTTCCTAACTGTGCCACTGCTCTTAATCATCATCTCTCATCGAACCATCTCTCCAGCTCAATCAACAGAGTCTCCTCTGCCTTGGCAACAGTGTCACATTATCATGTACCTGCTGGGATGAGAGGAAATGGGTTGATTTGTCGTCGCTGTGAGGCTGGACTGCATGTCACGCAGTCCGTTACGGCACCGCTCAGAACATATGAGCAACGTTTATCTCTGTCAAAGGCTTTTAAATGAACACACTCAAACTCTGAGCCATTCTGGGAATGATAGCACATGATTAGCCCAGTAATAATGCCCAGAGGGGGCTGCTGTCCCAGCTTCACTGCAAGAGACAGGGTTGGTAAGGGGGGGGAGTAAAACGGAAAGTAAAGGGAGTTCTTTCTATCTTTCTATCTTTCGAAAACACGCAAAAATAACAGTGGACTTACATAAGCACACCACCATAACGGTGCTGAGATACGAAAGTTGTCTAGGTACCGTCCACCAACTAAATATTGTGCTATTTGTTAATTTTTGCTATCTAAAATACATAATACTTATATTCACACACTGACAAAGGAAGGAGGGATAAGCTCACCTGACTCTTTGACCTGTGTTGTCCCCTGGTCGTCGTCCAGAGCCAGGTCATTCAGCAAGTGCTCCAGGATCTTCTCCGGGGTTCCCGATACCACTGTGTACCTGTCAGACACAACAGAGTCAGTGGAAGAGTCCTCCTCGATAGAGGACAGAGAGCGGCTGCTGCTCCATTCCTCCTCTCCCTCTGTCCCCTCGTCATCTATGTAGCGAAAGTAGGGGACGTCAAAGGTGGGCACCGTCACCGGCTCTGCCCGGCCGGTGCTGTCACTGCTGCTCTCCTCGGAGCCCTCCTCGTCGTCCTCGTCCTCCTCCTGCTCCACCAAGGCAGCATGCAGCAGCCTGCCCTCTTCTTGCCGCAGGTTCGGCGGCTGTGGTCGAGATCCCATCCTCGCAGTGTCCCTGTGCCCTCACACCGGCAACGTTGCCGTGGTTACTGCTGCATGCCCCCTTTACCCGTCCATCCATCCACCTGCAGCTGCTACAACCCGGAGTCCACTGCTGTCCAACCCTCAAGTATGCTGAGGTATCCCGGTATGTTCTTGGCTGAAAAAGCTCCTGAAGGACTTGTAAGGGAAGGCAGCTGCAGAGCTCTGCCTCTCACAGTCCCATGCTGCTCACTTATATGTATTTAATGTAGTCATTTATGTGTAGGGAGTTGTGATGTAAGAATGCCTGAGTGAGTATGTGATCCGGAGAGACGGAGAGGGAGAATGATGAGAGGGAGAGTGCTGAGGGAGAGAAACAGATAGTGAAAGAGAGGGAGGGAGGGAATCTAGGAAGGAGGGGAGTGGAGAGGCTTACCTTCTGTTCCTTGCCTCCTCTCTCCCTCCTCCCCTCGCCGATGCAGAGGGGGCTGGCTGCTCTGACGACATTCTCTGGAGAACCAGCACATCGTGGCCCCTCTCCCTTAGACACACACGGACTGCCTCGTCACTCTGGGGCTGGAGAGAGAAAGAGGGAGGGAGAGAGAGGGAGGGAGGGAGGGAGGGAGGGAGGGAGTGTGTTATCACCAAGGAGATTCCCCTGAATTTTCTCCCACTCACACAAATCACCACTGATTTCCATCATAATACTCTGTCAAAGCCAGCTCTAGTCTGTAAATGAAAGAGAATTTCCATATATCATTATTCAGTCCTTATCGGTGGAGCCCATTCAGGGATTAACATAAAAGACTCACACAAATTTTAATTACTGATTCCTACGTAGAGGCTATTAAATTATGGGTGGTGTCTAGAGACAATCTATTTTCAAGCTGCTGGTTAAACTCTGCACACCAACAATGGTTTAGTGGTTGGGAGCTTAGTTTAGACTTCAACTCACATGGTCCGTCCTTGTCTTATGACCAGCATGAGGTGCTGTGAATGATAAATTCGTTCTCATGTTCCCTACTGTCTCCCACTCTCTCTGTTTCACTTTGCCTCTCTCTCGGTCACGCCGTCACACATTGCCACCATGTTATCAATCAAAGCCTCAGTGAAAGACTCAGTGAAAGTCCTCTAAACGACTCCTTAAACCTTCACCAGGCCAACAATTGCTCTAAACGCCTCCCTCTCTAGGTTTAGACTGTTAGAGCAGTCAGATAAAGGGCAGCAACTAACAATTAATCCCATTATATTTGAATCACTCGGTTCTTTTTCAATTGATCGATTGTTTAGTCTACAAAATGTCACAAAATAGCGAACAATGCCCCAGAGCCCAAGCTGACATCTACAAATTACTTTTTTTATCTGACCAACACTCAAAAATGCAAAGATACAAAATGAGGAGAAGCTGGAACCAGCAAATGTTTGTCAGTTTTCTTTGTGTAATTACTTACAAATCAAAATACATTTAATTATTTTTATTATTTTAAAAAGAGTCACTGACTATCAAAATTGTTGACAAATAATTTTTCAACTGATCTAGTAATCTAGTAGTCTCCATAATCCATGGAGATTATGTTTGGTTTTGTTTTGTTTGTTTCAGCATATTAGAAGACAGTATCAAGCAAATATAATCAACAATGAGAAGCACATAGATCAACTTTGACTGCCATGGGAAGCTGAAATTTAACTATAGTAAAGAGTATCTATATTCAGTTTTCTAGCTCAAAAGTTTGGTGGATATAATGCTGTACACCACTGGCTAAACCTGGATATTCAGTGATGTTTTTCAATAACAAGTATCTAAATTGAACTTTTTTAACCCCACATTTGAAACAAAATGGCTTGTTGCAGCATCTCTGCAGTATAAAGATGCCTGCTAGCTGCTTGACAATAGAGGGTCTGGATCAGAGATATTGGTCTTAATGAGGAGTTCACTGTATAGTGCACGCATCCTGCATCAGCTAACCCCCCCCGCCAACCCCCCTCCTCAGCCATCAGTCAATGCACCACAAGCTTCTGTGCATGCAATTAGCCAGACAGACTGGCTGGAAATGGTTGCAGTTTTCGGTCCTAATTGCCTTTTGCAGAGAAGCATCCAGAGCCCTTCAGTTAAGCATGACTTCCTGGCACATTAACACTTATCTGGGATCTGTCGACATACATACATAAACAGACAGACACACTGTACTGTAAATATACAACACATACACAGATGAATGCATTAATACAACATATAAAAACACACATATAACACCTAATACAACAAAGACACACAACTGTGTCCATCACTGGGTGGGCCACATATTCAACATTGACATTACACAGTGCGCCAGTCACATGTATAAACAGCAGCAATGTTTTCAGACACTCAGAAACGACCATTAATGGCAATGTTTCTCCAGTGCTCCTGACTGTAAGCAGTGTTTACATATCTGTTAAAGTTAAAACTTGTGAATCTATTCCTTCTTTACTGTAATACAAACACATACACATAAAATTTCATATACTTAAGGGTGCGTCCTGTGGTATAACAGACTCTATTATCCTGTCACAGGACGTACAGTTTGACGTAAGGTTAGGGTGTGGGATGAAAAGCAAAGAACCAGGAAATACCCAGAAAGGGAAGGTTGCACTGATTAGCATCCTGGTTCTTGGGAAAAAGACATTGGCGGTTCTATTTTCCTCAAGACATGACGTACACTGTGCACTTTTAGCTCCATGACAGTACGCTGTTTTTGTGTCAGTAAGCGTGACATCAAAGCAAGTTGAATTCTTAACTATAATTAACAGAGTGTCTCAGTGTACCGCTAACGGGTCAAACAGCAAACAAACCTTTCGTCACAATGAATTATTGATCCTGCCTCTGCTGCTGCAGGCCACTACATAGTGCGCACTGGGCTGTGTGGTCACCACTGTCCCAATACAAAAACACAATCAGCCCTCTAAGAGTGGAGGCTTGTAATGAGACAGAGTGCCGGGACCACACAGTTCCTACCCCAGCCTGGAGGTGACCTCGATGCACAGCTACCACTTAAGCTCCCAACATGGACGCCGTCAGCAGAAGGGTAAACAATACTTATCAGGCCTCTGCACAAAGTCATGTCCCGTTACTTAATTACCCGGGTCTACTGTCTCTTTCAGAGTTCCAGATGCATTTCGCTGGCTGGATGGATGCATTCTGTCTGCATGTCTCAAATACAGCAGGTCTGGCCCGCATGGTATGAAACACTTAAAGGGAGCTGGAAGGTGTCAGTCCTGACAGGGTGCAGATTTGCACTTAATTGCTGTCAAGGAATAGTGTGTATCATACAGAATGGGAAGAAGAGGAAGAATAGTCCAATGATTCATATATATTGCTTTCAAAGAATCCTTTGATGCTGATCTACAACAGCAATTAAATTAAAAGTCCTGTTTAATTCATTAAGCTCCTATGATATGCTGTAAACAAAAAATATGTATATGTTACATAATGTTTATTATGCTTCTTGTGGCAGAAAACAGCATCTATGTGTTCTAATCAGATGTACAGAGCAAACTCATTGGCTGATTGTGCACAACTCTGATAACTTCTGAATAACTGAAAACAGCAGCGAAGTAAAAGTACAAAAGAACAAGGGATTTCCAAGGTCAAAACAGAAATCTATTACATTTAAACCTGATGGGTTTTTAAAGCAAAATGAATTATGACAAAACTAAACTACCAAAGAAAAAGACATTCTTGGCTCAAAATTTAAGAATATTGCATAATTTTCATGATCCTGCGCCAAAATATCTTACACATTTTCACAGACATGAAGCCTACTGTATATTAAGCATGCCTGTTTCATCCAGCTGGGATGTAACAGATTTCTAAGCTCTTTGATGTCTGGGCTTAGATGTTTATATGACTCACATGTAATACAGGATGTGCATTGTAGCATTATTGGATTACTTTAAACCATTCTATAATCTAGAAACACTGCTGGATAATCCCACATAATATTAATATTTCTAGATAATGTCAAGTATTAAATACAAGGTCAGCATATCTGGCCATTACTGCTGGGATTACATAAGTGACACATACAAACGTGCCATTGGTATACTCGCATTATTTAGAATTCACAATATGAGAAACTTGGCACGTTGCATGTTAACAAAACAAAAAAGGTAAAATATTATTGTTGTATTATGCAGCACTAACATTTGTTCATAAGTGGCTTACTGCAGATGAAAGGTCATTATATTGAATAACAACACTGATAGGAGATCTAGCCTTGTATTTGCAGAAAAGGTCAGAAACCTGATGCACTGGAATCCACCCTAAAGCCATACAATGTCTTGGCATGGTGGTCTGGCCACTTGCGTCAACTTTTCCTGCCATTGTTTTTCAGTTCAGCACACAGATACAGCTGGCAGGAAGGGAGAAGCTGAGCCAAACATGAGGTCAGCCAATCAGACATCTTCTACGTAGCCAAGTGGCAGGTGATGTAATCATTTTAGTTGTGCGCAGGTTGAACTGAACGTACAGTACGTTAAGTTAAATTCCGTTCCCAATAATCAAAGCTGGCAGTGGTAGTGGTAAATGGTAGTGCTTTGACGTGAAAACCCTTCAGAAACCCGAGGATGCTGCCACACTTTTAGAGACTTACTATATTCTAAATGCATGTTAACTTTCTGTAATGACACTGCAACTGTATATACATCTAGCCAATTCTAAATGTAATAGATACAGTGCATTTATAACTGAAATAAATGAACTGTTTTAAAATATTCAATCTAATTCTTACATCTCTTTTGAAGCAGTCTAGAAACTATTTTCCTATATTTAACCGAAGAGAGCTTTTTGTAGTCTCGACAGAATCTAAATGACAACATTCATCTTCAGAGAAAGCAGAGATGTTATCGAATGTATAGAGGCCAGTAAAAACAGACAACAAATTAACATCAGTTTGATGGATGGAACACCGCAGGGAGTGCGAGAAACGATGCTTGGGCACAACGCTCACAAAACAGCAGCATAAAACACCACAGTATTGCCCAGAGTAAAATGTTCTATAGCTGAATATTCAAGAATAAAGCCTGCTAATTGTAGGGTTCATAATGACATAAAGAGGACTATCTGATAAGCAGCTTGACTGATGTTGTCACTGTGTCAAGGCCAAAGATAGCTGGGAAATGCACCAAAGAGTGCAGCATTTCACTGCAGTTCTATGTCCATTATTTTATGAATAGAGTTGTTAGAAAAAGTCTTGCTAATACTATATTATAAAAACGAATGTTTGGACAGCGGAGGCGTTATTGTTGTGTATCTCACCTCGCTTGTCCTCTCTGGGCCCTTGCTGTGGTTCTGCAGGAAGCGGCACCCATCCTTGGCCAGTTTCTGGACCATCTCCAGTCTGGACAGGTCCTCTTTGTCATGCAGGATGCACATGCTCCCCTGCTGCAGCCCAGGGGACACAGAGAACATGTACCTCAGGCCACAGTCCCACGACATCGCCGGCTCAGCAAACTACTGGCTGTCCACCAGGCAAAACAGCAGGACCCCTGTGTGTGAGCTTGCACTACTCTTTAAAAAGTGTTAAAAGAGGTGAGTAGCTCAAAAATCTGTGTAAATATTGTTTGTTTTTCTGTGTATGCCGTTAAGGTGAGTTAGAGTCTTCTGTCACTGCAGCCAAAGTAAATCCCAGTTGCCGTATGCCTTGGTCAGCTCTGTAGCGGAGAGGCACACGCAGAAAAAGACTTCATCAGTTAGACTCCAGGTATCTCTCTGTGCTTGGCTTTATTGAGAGTGAATGACAGATTCCCTCTCTCTGCCCTTCCCTTGCCTTTCACCACTGGGGAGGGGAGTGAGTTAGGAACACAGTGGGCTCAGGAAACATCTGGTGAACCAGAGAGTCCCAAAAAGGAAGTTTAAAATTCTCCCAAAACTAGGAGAGAGTCAGGACTGGGCAGGGCACATTACACTGGAAGGTCAAACACTTGATAGGGTGGGAACATATTATGTGTGTGTGGAGGTTTAAGGTCATTTTTTTTTCTTTCAGTCAGAGTGAATGCAATGCAGTAAATTAACGTCACCTACTAGCTAGCAAGAACAAAGGTGTAGAAATGTCGCATAACTGTTAGTAGTAAATTGTCCACATATTCATCAAACAATAATAATATAGAGAGATAGGAGGGGCCAGTTAATGCAGATGTAAAAGTGCCATGTGGAGCATTTTGTAAAGAGTATGTCTCCATTTGCCCAATACTTGGAGGAGCAAGTAGAACTGATAAGGGACTTTTAATAACAAGTAGTGTTGAGAGCTTTCTGACAATTTGGTAACCGATTACTAACATAAATTGAATATCTATGGCTTTTTGGACTGTTGGTCAGACAAAAGAATCCATCTGAAGAAATCAACTTATGCTGGGAAATTATGATGGGCATTTTTAAAAGCTTTTTCTGACATTTTAAAGACTGAACAATTTGTAGATTTAGAGCTTGGATTAATCTGTAATGAATTGAATGAATTCCTCAGTTTGATGAATCATTTAGGCTTCAAAATGACAGTTGCAGTTTCTCAAAGTGAAGAACATTTTTCACAACCAAGAGTACAAAAGATTTTATCACATAAGACAAAGAAAAGCACCAAAACTTCAAACTGGAAAAGCCAGAACCAAAGAATTGCTGTTGCTGATTTTTTTTTGGTTGATCAACAAACTAATGAAATGACAAATTGTTTCAGCTCTACATCAGTTAATTATATTAACTATATTATTATAATAACTATTAAAAATAATCTTAGTTGTATCCATAATACTAGCTTTGTTTTTTTTTACAAGCTACATTTTGTCGAGCTGTCTCCATACTGCTGTTTCTAAGTGTCTGCTTTTATAAAGATCCTTGACTTGTCAAACACTCGCTAATTAAATGAAGCTTGTCAGTTGCTTAACATAATTACAGAGGGACCAGTGTGATCCTACATGTATTGACCAAGGTAAACCAAGGACATTAATTCTTCGTATGAACACTTAATCTATTAGCGTTATATCTTTTTTCCCCCTCTGTCAGCACTGTGACGCTTGACTGGGTCCTTGTAAAGCCATTCAATTGTGCAGCTGTTTCAAACTGCTGATACAGCAAACGGTAGAATGAGAAAAGGTCCCCATCTCTAGGTGGTGTTTCTCTTTCATGTAAGGTTGAGACTGATCATTCCTCAAGGCTCTTTTGTTCTTTTCGAAGTAACTGATTGGGAAGATGGACATTGCCCTCATATACAGTATATGTCTTTAAAAGTAGATATTAACCTATTTCTGCATAACTTCAGTTAAATAATTGAATCCCCCCCAACTCTTTATTGGCAAGTTCATCATATTTGGGGTCTGTAAATTCAAAATGTGCTGATGGGCATTCCTTATCTTTAATAAAAAAAGGCAAGTATTCTCTTATCCTCATCTAAATGGTTAAAAAAATATATTTTAATCGATAGATAAGAGAAACTCATATACCACATCCTTGATTTTTTAATTTTTAGATAGTAAACCTAACCAGTGTACGTACTACTGTCTGTTATTCTATACCATTCCACTATAGGAAAGAAACTAAGGAAATTAATAGCCTTAAATATCTAAAAACAACCTTCCTGCCCGTCTTCCTTCCTGCACCTTAGTGACACAAAGCCAGGAGGACAACTCTAGCTTTAATGTGCTACCACTGACCCAGTTTCTCAAGTAAATGAATTGCAAAGTGAAAATGCCTAAAGTCAGACTTGTTAGTGAGCTCGCTCTAATAGTGCTGTCTTTAACCAGGGACTACCATGACAACCATGGGAGATACACTGTTACTGTTGGCCTGCAGCTGTGCGAAAAAGTGATGAAACTCTACTGAGCTTGTTACAGTACCCCCCTATTTCCAAAATAATAAGTACAAAAATTCAATAGCTGCGCAGTCTCATACAAATTAAAGAAGATACTAAACAACAGGAACAATGACATCACCACATGGTGTATGAATGATGAATGAAATCTATATTTTCTGAATTTATTCCTTGCTTTAGTTTCAAAATTACACATAAGAGAAATGTGATCGTGATAGCGGTCTTTCAGACATGGAAGCTAATTTGTAAGGACCATGGTGTGAGTTCAAGGGAACAACAAAGGACCACAGCAATAATGTCTCATAAACCAGTTGTTTCAAACCTGGGGTTGGGACCCCCACTAGGGGTCACCAATGCTTCATGGAGGGGTCGCAAGGCCTTCTTGATTTACAGGGCTGTAAGAAAATATATAAAATACACACAGCAGGCCTATATCTCAGCTTTTAATTCATGTCTGTGAAGAAATGTTAACACAGAATTTGTTAAAAAAAAAAAAAAAAGCCTATTAAGTCTGTATGATATAATGTATGCATGTAAAATGTATAAAAAATACATAATACTGACAGAGAATTGTATAAAAACAGGAAATAATCTGCTCAAAATGAATCCAAATCAATCATTTTACACAATCTTCTTGTAATTACTGAGTTCATTATTTGGGGTTATTGTACTGTTTTGAATATCATATGAACTATCTATAAAATATGTCACTTAGTCAGGGGTTGTTAATTTAATAAATAATAGAAAAGTCTGAGGATTAAGATATTGTGTAAAGATACTGTGGGTGTATTGTGTCTCATTTCTAAGGTAATAATGCACAAAGAGCAAAAGCTTTTCTACACTGGCATGTGGATAACCATTGAAAGTGACATTGACCTCTACTGGTCACAGAAGGCCAGTACATTTGCATATGGCTACTGTATGTTCCCCACTTATGATATGTTTGTCCTTAAGGAAAAAGAAGTAGAAAAAGTAGTTTTTGGTGTTATTTAATTAATAAGTTAATTTTAGGTTAATCTACCTAAATTGTGCCAGCCGTCAATAAAACCCAAAGAAGAAGAGTTGTCACTTCCGGCTAACATCGCTGTTTAACTAAACAAGACGTTTAATAACTTCTGTTAAAATAATGTCCAATCCATAGATTATTTCTTCCCCCAAAACGGATAGTATTTGAGGAACTGGCAATTTTTTTTTTTTGTTTAAAAGACTTTTGAGAATCAATATCTCTAACAGTCGTTGTTTACAAATATGCAAAACAGAAACTCCTTGACAGCTGACACTGAAATGAAAAACATACCAAGAACCATGTGGTAAAAATATTTAGTATGGTAACTAAATTAACTTACTTTTTTTCTTGCTTTTAGTCCTGCTTGAAGAAAGTGGCAGGTTGTCAAAAGAGCTAACGTTACAGTAGCTAGCTTGGGAAACAGTTGCTGTCACCACTTACTAACTAATGTTACACCTGGCTCGTCACCTGAGTTGGCACAGCTGGCACCTTGCCTCAGTGAAGTTAATGTGTTATGTGTGAATTTAGGGTTTTAGTGCCCTTGAGCAAACGTTTTTAATAGCAGCTTTATTTTCTGATGTATTTGTTGGATCAACACTGACCGTGACACCAGCGATGGTATAAGTGGCCCTTTTAGAATATCTACATTTATATGACCATATAAAGTGTGTATATATATATATATATAATATTAGTTTAGTTTCTTCCTGCAATGCCAGGTACATTTGTTCAGTGTAATTCGGTTCATTTTCACTTTGGCTTTGGTTAAAATTATTTTCGTGACCTCCATTATTCATAAACATAATCAAATTAATGTAAAATTTAGCATGCTTTTTATTTCTTTTCAGCTTAATGGAGGTTTTGTGAGCTGCACTACACAAAACCTAGACTGCTGTAAAGTAGCACAGGGCAAAAAAAAGAGTAGACTGTTAACCTGTACATATTCATTTTCAAGCTTGATATTTATCAGCTCTACAGTGGTACTGAATGTACTGCTTCCAGTAAAACAGCCTCCCACTCCCACAACAGCTCTTCCTGGCTTGTTGCCTTTACCATCCTTCTAATGGCTTCTGTTCATTACCAAGGTAACTGCACACTGCCAGTGATTGTGCTGGAAGCCTTACTTCGCTTTAACTTTAATTAAGTGTGTCAAGTTAGGGCTGCAATGGGGTGCCTGAATAGCTCACCTGGTGGAGCAGCCATCCCATGTATTGTACAGAGGCTGAGTCCTTGCTGCAGCGGCCATGGGTTTGAGTTCGACCTGTGGCCCTTTTCTACATGTCTTCCCCTCTCTCTCTCTACCCCCTTTCCTGTCTATCTTCAGCTGTCCTATCAAATAAAGGGAAAAAGCTCCCAAAAAATATATATTATAAAAAAAAAGTTAGGGCTGCAATAGGATAGGGATTTTGGCAGACAGGCGTTACGGTTGCAAAAACTTGTTAATTAAACGCTTATTCAACTATTAAATTGATCAGCAACTATTTTAACAATAGATAAATCATTTTGAGTAATTTTATAAGAAAAAAATGTCTTTCACCTTATATTTCACCTTCTCAAATGTGAACAATTCTTGGTTTCTTTAGTTCTCTATTAACATTAACATTTGAGGAAACAGTGATAATCTTTTACAATTTTTTCACAATTTATTGACCAAACTAATAAATTCATTGAGAAAATGGTCAACAGATTAAGCAATATTGAAAATAATCGTTAGTTGCAGCCCTAATCATTATCATGGATTTAAAACAACATAACAATATGAGGGGCTTCCAGTAGCCATACAAACTCAGCTGCTGATACTAATTCAGCTCTTGTGGTAGACTAGTATATTGGAACTCTATTTGACTTGTGTGGTGGCAGTGCTGCAGGTATCAATTACTCGGCTTCCTATGTTATTTATTGATATTCAATACTACAATTAAAATTAGCTTACACACGGTGATATGAGACATAGGAGATGGGAAT